TCTAAAAAAAAAAAAAAAAAAAGTGAGGCTCCAGAAGAGTGGGAGGACTATAGTAAACTGAGACTCTGCTTTTAAAGGGCCAGCATATTATATCAGTCACTCCAAGACTCATTACAGAGTCAGTAGTATGAAGAGCACCTGGGTTATATATGAAGATTCATGGACTAATTTTAGGGCATGTGTCAGATAGGCAGGGATCTGTAGGAGCTTTCTCTGGGAATAGAAGTGTTGGTAGGCAACATTTTTCTTCCTCTCCTTAAGTCTGGCTGGCCTGGTGCTGGTGGAAGCCAGTTCTGACAATCTCCATCTACTTTGCTAGCACTGCTTGCCCTGCTCTGGCAGGTATTCCTCCTGCTACAGGGGGCAGGCAGCCTGCATCAGCTGCAGCCAGGTGACTCAGCCAGCCTAGCTGGGGTCAGCCCTGCTCACCGACATGCCTGAAGCAGTCATGGCCCAGTCACAGAAGGCACACCCCTGGAGTGCCTGGTTCTGGTGACCAGGGAAATGCACTGCAGGGCTCCACAGGGACACCTTTTACATAAGGTCACTACTTTCAAGACATACTACACTGAAACAGAGGTAGAGGGAAGAGGGGAATATGTTCCAAATGAAAAAAGATAAAACCTCAGAAAAAGTACTAAACAAAACAGATAAGAGTTCAAAGTAATGGTCCTAAAGATATTCACTAGACTTGGGCACCTGGGTGGCTCAGTTGGTTAAGCGACTGCCTTCGGCTCAGGTCGTGATCCCGGGGTCCTGGGATCGAGTCCCGCATCGGGCTCCCTGCTCAGCAGGGAGTCTGCTTCTCCCTCTGGCCCTCCTCCCTCTCATGCTCTCTGTCTCTCATTCTCTCTCTCTCAAATAAATAAATAAAATCTTTTAAAAAGGGGCGCCTGGGTGGCTCAGTTGGTTAAGCGACTGCCTTCGGCTCAGGTCATGATCCTGGAGTCCCGGGATCGAGTCCCGCATCGGGCTCCCTGCTCAGCAGGGAGTCTGCTTCTCCCTCTGGCCCTCCTCCCTCTCATGTTCTCTGTCTCTCATTCTCTCTCTCTCAAATAAATAAAATCTTAAAAAAAAAAAAAGTAATTAGAGATGCAGAAGAATGGGGGGTCAGTGATCTGGAAGACTGAGTAATGGACAGCACCCAAGCTGAACAGCAAAAAGAAAACTGAAGTTTAAAAAAACGAGGATAAGGGGCCTTTAGACAACATCAGTTTTACTAACATTTATAGGGGTCAGAAGTAGAAGAGAGAGAGAAAGGGGCAGATAATTTACTTAAAGACAGAATAGCAGACAACTTCCCTAACCTGGAGAATGAGACATCTGGGAAATACAGAGAGCCTCTAACAAGATGAACCCAAGGGAGGTCACATAATACTTAAAATGTCAAAAATTAAAGAGAGAATCTTAAAAGCAGCAATAGGAAAGCAATTAGTTACACAGTAGGGAAGCCTCATAAGGCTATAAGCTGAGTTCTTAGAAGAAACATTGAATATATCATGCCACTCCCTTTTGGCCTGCAAAGTGCTGATGAAAGGAAGAAAGTCTACAACCAAGAATACCCTACTTAGGAAGCTTATCATTCAGAATTGAAGGAGAGAGAGTTTCCCAGAAAAACAAAAGTTAGAGTTTATCACCACTAAACCAGTCTTACAAGAAATGTTAAAGAGACTTCTTTAAGCAAGGAAGAGTCCATAACTAGAAGACATTATGAAAGGAAAAAATTTCACTGGTAAACATATACCAAAGGTAGTAGTAGATCAATCACCTAGAATGCTAGAAAGATGACTAAAGGAAAAAATAGTAAAGTCAATTATATCTACCACAATTAGGTGATACACAAAATAAAGAGATCTAAAATATGATGTCATATACATAAAATGGGGTAGAATTAAAAATGTACTGCTTTTAGAATGTGTTTGAACTTAAGTGACCAACTTAAAACATACTGCTATATACATATACATAGAATGTTATATATGAATCTTATAGTAACCACAAGCCAAAAACATATTAGATACACAAAAAATGGAAAGCCAAGCATAACACTGAAAAGTCATCAAAAAAAAAGGAAAGAAAGAGAAGAACTACAAAAATAACCAGAAAACAACAAACTGCTATAAGGACATACCTATTATTAATTACTTTGAATGTAAATGGACTAAATGCTCCAATCAAAACACATAGGATAAATGAATGGATAAAAAGAAAAACAAGACCCATCTATATGCTGCCTACAGGAGACTCGCTTCAGATCTAAAGACATATACAGACTGAAGGTGAAGGAACAGAAAAGATATTCCATGCAAATGGAAATGGAAAAAAAAAAAAAAAAGCTGGGATGGAAATACTTACACCAGACAAAATAGACTTTGAAACGAAGACTAACAAGAGACAAAGAATATGCTATTAAACCAATGGATCAAGGAAGAAATCAAGAGAAAATAAAAAAAATACCTTGAAACAAATGAATATGGAAACACATGGTTCAAAATCTACGGGACTTAGCAATAGCATTTCTAAGAGAAAGTTTCTGATACAGGCCTACCTCAAGAAACAAGAAAAATCTCAATCTAACCTTACATCTAAAGGAACTAGAAAAAGAAGAACAAAGCACAGTTAGTAGAAAGAAGGAAATAATAATAAGATTAGAGTAGAAATAAATGAAATGGAATATAAAAAAATAGAAACCTCAATGAAGCTAAGAGTGACTTATTAGAAAAGATAAAAACTTAGCATAATACCCTCTAGCTCCAGCCATGTTGTTGCAAATGGCAAGATTTCATTCTTTTTTTATGGCTGAGTACTATTCCATTATATATATATATATTATATATATATATACCACATCTTTTTTATCCATTCATCAGCTGATGGACACTTGGGCTCTCATAATTTGGCTATTGTTGATAATGCTGCTATAAACATCAGGGTTCATGTGACCCTTTGAATTAGTATTTTTATATCCTTTTGGTAAATACCTAGTAGTATAATTGCTGGGTCATAGGATAGTTCTAGCTTTAACTTTTTAAGGAACCTTCATACTGTTTTCCAGAGTGGCTATACCAGTTTG